AGTGTCCTACAAGAGTGTCCCACAAGAGTGTCCCACAAGAGTGTCCTGTAAGAGTGTTCCACAAGAGTGGCCTACAAGAGTGACCCACAAGAGTTTCCGACAAGAGTGTCCCACAAGAGTGTCCCACAAGAGTGTCCCACAAGAGTGTCCTACAAGAGTGTCCCACAAGAGTGACCCACAGGAGTTTCCTACCAGAGTGTCCCACAAGAGTGTCCCACAAGAGTGTCCCACAAGTGTCCCAAAAGAGTGTCCCACAAGAGTGTCCTACAAGAGTGTCCCACAAGAGTGTCCCATAAGAGTGTCCCACAAGAGTGTCCTACAAGAGTCCCACAAGAGTTTCCTACAAGAGTGTCCCAAATGACCCAACAGAGTGTCCTGCAAGAGTGTCTCACAAGAGTGTCCCAGAAGAGTGACCCACAAGAGTGTCCTATAAGAGTGTCCCACAAGAGTGTCCTACAAGGGTGTCCCACAAGAGTGTCCCACAAGAGTGTCCCACAGAGTGTCCCACAAGAGTGTCCTACAAGAGTGTCCCACAAGAGTTTCCTACAAGAGTGACCCACAAGAGTGTCCTACAAGAGTGTCCTACAAGAGTGTCCCACAAGAGTGTCCCACAAGAGTGTCCTATAAGAGTGTCCCACAAGAGAGTCCCAAAACAATGCCCCGCAAGAGTGTCCTACAAGAGTGTCCCACAAGAGTGTCCTACAAGAGTGTCCCGCAAGAGTGTCCTACAAGAGTGTCCCACAAGAGTGTCCCACAAGAGTGTCCTGCAAGAGTGACCCACAAGAGTGTCCTACAAGAGTGACCCACAAGAGTTTCCTACTAGAGTGTCCCACAGGAGTGTCCCACAAGAGTGTCCCACAAGAGTGTCCTACAAGATTGTCCCACAAGAGTGACCCACGAGAGTTTCCTACCAGAGTGTCCCACAAGAGTGTCCTACAAGAGTGTCCCACAAGGGTGTCCCATAAGAGTGTCCCACAAGAGTGTCCTACAAGAGTGTCCCACAAGAGTGTCCCATAAGAGTGTCCCACAAGAGTGTCCTACAGGAGTTTCCCACAAGAGTTTCCTACAAGAGTGTCCCAAATGACCCACAAGAGTGTCCTACAAGAGTGTCTCACAAGAGTGTCACAGAAGAGTGACCCACAAGAGTGTCCTACAAGAGTGTCCCAGAAGAGTGTGCCACAAGAGCATCCTACAAGAGTGTCATTTGGACATATGTAGTTTTTTCGAACGTGTTTGCATTCGGGTTCGTGGGTTCCATCTTGTTTTTCGTGCATTCATTGACACACTTAATTTTGCACAGGCTATTCGTATGAAAAGTGATATTCGTAAGTCCTGGGATGGGGAACACATGAAGATATGCGCAAAATATGGACATAGACACACATTTTCTTCCTGACTGGTGATGTTGACATAGATGTTAAATTAGCTTCAAAGGATTTGGGTTGTATGCTTCAGTATTCCAAATATTCCAAAAGAACATTCTTGGGCTGCCTGAAAGATCGAAAACGACGCCTTTTTCGATTGCAAAAAACGGATCTATCTCTACAAGACAAAGCTTCAAAGATTCAGACCTCAGTATGGCCTCTCGCCTTTTACGGTGCAGAAAGCCAGGTTGGAGAGTCCCATTTTGTGCAACTTAGACGCATGGCCACTGATGCATCAATCGGAAAGCGCAAATACGCTTCCCCTTCCTTGCCATGCCATATCTCTCCGATCGGGTCATGGATCCATCGCTGTACGTTTTTGTTTCTGGCTTATGTGCCGTCCGACAACTTTTTCATACCAACACCGAGCAAATACTCTTTGGACGGAGGTTCTTAAAGCCTTACCACCTCGTGGCCCATGTAATGTAGTGCATTGGCTACCTACATGGCTAAATTGCGATGGGCACCACTCCTGGGTGGGCTGGTTGATATGCCTAGTGGACACCAAATTGATCTTACCTGTCCACATGACGCGTCGATTAGCATGGTCGCACTATGTCCACGGACAAGTATGCCACCATAAGGGCATTGCTGCTATGCCGGTCGCTACCTGTACCCAGATCAACATTTTTACTCAATTGACAGACCGAGAACAAAAGTTGATCTCACTCTATATCACCGCTGCCGTGAAAGCTACTTGGGACAACACCCAATCTGTCGAATGCCCCTACTGTAGTCAAACTGATACGCACTTGCATCGGTTATTATACTGCCCTGAGTTCGCACATGTCCGTGACAAACACACAGGGCCGTAGAAATATTGACAAAGCATCAGCATCTGGCCTGGTTGCCCCTTACAACACTTCATTCCCAACAAATCGTTTATAATAGATTGAAACTGTCGAGAGCGGGACCATTCCTACAGCCTCCGTATCAGAACGCTGCTAGACGG